CGATTGATGAGACGATGGAAGTTTCCCTGTTCGCCTTCTGATTGGAATCAAGTTTGGGAAGGGTTGTCAAATGGTTGGATGGAGAAGATTGTGTGGATGATGGTGGATATTGAGGAGGATTCGGAAATTGTTGCGGCTGTTGTCGTGTCTGGCGTTTTTGGCTCGAAAAAAACCTCCTTGTTGACTCTTCTTGACTGCATCTTTTTTCCAGAAAATATTCTTAGACTCACTACCCTGGACTGTTTGCTGAGATTTATCCATGGTCACGTCCTACTTCTTGTTGCTGCTGGCTCGTTAGGAAGCATGCCATCGACTCTGAACAAAGGCAAGACAACCAGCCACTGATAGGAGGCAAGAAGCAGACCACTCACTAGTTGATCCTTCTTCCTTCCAAATGCGTTCAGAGTCCGTTTAAATGTATATAGTACACATGAAACAAGAGAATTTTCAGCGAAACTGGTGTGGCCTTGGTGCAATAGGATCGTCATTTTCTTTGTCTTGTATGGGTGTTCTGTGTAAATGTGGGTGCGAGCGTACAGAGGAACGAGCCGTCGTGCGTGTATTCCATTTTAGTACTGTCCTTCCATGCCGACCGTTGTGCCTTTTGCATTCGTTGCATCTTGAAGAAGTTATAGCAATAGTACTTGTCAAGGAAGGCGATGCTTCCAAATTCCATCGTATTCAAGAGCAGCGAACATTACATACCTCTCTTTTGCAAGTAGAAGTAGCAGTAGCGTTCCTCGCTTGCGGCTTGCGCTTGTCGTGCAACCAATCTTTGACAGCAGAAGAAAGGTCAGTTCGCAAGGTCCTTGAAATCTTGCTTCCATTGCTGATCCGGAGCCCAAGGTTTTGTTCAATGTGCTGGAGCATTTGCAAGCAAGTCGCAACAAAAGCAACAAAAAGCAACACCACAGGTCTCAATCGATCGTTCAATCTTGTAGAATGAAAAAGGTTGCGAGTCAAGCAAGACTTTGTATACAGCATTCTTGTATTATTTCCTCTTCCGAGAAGAAGAATTCAAAGATTGTGACTGTTCCTTCAGTCTAGTCCCTTCAGTCTAGTTGCATCGGCTTGGGCAGTGGCGAATTTTGACTTTAGGCCTAGTAAACGAAGGATGAAAT